GCCGGCGCAGAACCATCACCAGACTCGGGGGCCGGCGCAGAACCATCACCAGACTCGGGGGCCGGCGCAGAACCATCACCAGACTCGGGGGCCGGTGCAGAGCCGTCGCCCGACGCGGCCGGGGCCGATCCAGCGGCGGACGACTCGGTCGATGAAGCGGGGGCCGGAGCAGCCGTCGACGTCTGAGACACAGCCTTGCAGTCACCGCTACTGCTAGTGGACTCGTCAAGCAGGGCTTCGATCTCGGCGTAGTGCAGGCCCACCGACGTGACGGTGGAGTTGTCAGGCTTGCTGGCAGGCAGCCACAGGAAATCGGGGTGGTTGGCCTTGGAACCCGATAGCCATTCACCACCCAGAATCTGGTACGTCTCGTCCGTCTCGAGGATGTACTCGTAGTCAGCGCTGGTCGTGGACTTGTCGACCAGACCGGTACTGACGAGAGGTCCGTTGGTTCCAGACTCGACGATCCAGCTGAAACGCGTGGTCACCACAGCGATCTTGGTGGCGGCGTCATTGAACGGGTACTTATCCGTGTCAAAGTACTTCTTCGCGGCGGCGGTGGGCGTCGTCCAGGACAGACGGAGGATCTCATAACTACGCGCAGGCTGGTTCCACACCTCGTTACCTGCAGTGATATCGACGACGAAGCTGTGGTTGAAGCGGCCCATGATGTTGGTCACAGCGACGTGGAAGTAACCGGGACTGATGTCACGACGACGGTCGTCGAAGAAGCGGCCGTACTGGTCCGTGTTGTTCGGGGCGTTGTCGTTACCGTTGAAGCGAGAGCCCGTGAAAATGGTCGGGATCTTGGAGCCATCGTACGCCAGAGTGATCAGACCCTTGATGTCGTACGGCTCGAACACCGTGCCGTTGCGCTCAACAGCACACGCCGGCTCGGCCTCCAGAATAGCAGCGGGGGCCCAGGCGTGGCAAATACCGAACCAGGTCGGGATGCAGTGGCCCTCCGTCTTACCCTCACGCTTTGCGCACACACTTCCGTCCTTCAGGGCCTTACACACAGCGTCATCCGTGCAGTTCTTCCGCTTGGTCTGCGAGTCGATACCGTTCTTGGCTGAAATCTTATCCATCAATTCCTTGGCGTCGTAGCCGAATGCGTTGGCATATTTCTCAGCGGGACTGGGCTTTCCCTTCGCCCAGCGGTAGTTGATACTGTCAGCGTACACCGGCCAGTAACTGGCTGGCCACGGGATCGGATCGTGCTGGTACTTGGTTGGCAACTTGGTGATATCCGTCTCGAGCTCAAGGCCGAAGAACGTCTCGAGCTTCTGCATGTCTGTACTCTTGGTCACCTCAAGACGACGGTTAATCCGCGCCGCATGGAGCTGTCCGGGGTTGTATTTGTCGGCGTCTTTGCCAACCTCGCCACCGGTGCTCAAGGTCGCCGACGTTGGCGACGTTCCGATTTCCATGAAGGCACCATAACCGGGAAAGTTGGCATCCATCGTCGTCAACTCATCCGGAGTATCGGTCGGGTCATCCTGAATAGGCATGGCCTTGACTGTTCCTGCGGCATACAGCGCGGCTAGACCGCATACTAGTCTCCACTGCACCATTTTCCGATCAAAAAAAGCTGTTTGAGGGACGCAGTGTGTCGCGTGAAATGAACCGAGCTGAGCTGCTTGCTGCCGAGCGTGCGGTTTGTCGTTTGAGCGGGTGAACTGTTGCAAACGGACACAGTAACCAGGCTTG